TGGGAGTTTAGTTTTACTAAGAAAAGGGGACTTCATTGGGTTTTCTGTTTACCCAGGGAGCCAGTCCTGAAGACCTCAGTGGTCTGTGCGTGCGCAGACGTCTTCAAGGGTGATCAAATCCTCCCCTCACCCTGCAGAGAGGAGGCTGTGCACAGACTGCAATCATGCACCTGCCGGTTAACAGATAAGCCCTCCATATGCAGAGGCACTCGCCTGGCTGTGGCTGAGGCGCTGAGCCGGCCCCTTCCCTCCCCCAGCCCACAGAACAAAGGGCGGTCATCTGCTGCTCCTCCCAGAGTCTGATGCACGCTCATGCCTTCCATCACAATTAACTCCAGAGTCTGAAACACAACACAAACTCACCAGCAACATGCTCAAAATCAATGCCATCAATATCCAGAGCGAGGATACCAAAAAAAGAAAAACAAAACAAACCTATTCAAAGAGTAAATACTCAAAGCAACAGGGCTGGAGTCAGCCACATTACAAGGTCAACAAATCTAAAGACAAGTTCAAGTACAGGGCACCTTATAAACATCAGCAGAAGAGCTGGCATTATACAGGTGCTGCCTTTGGGAGACAGATAATGAAAGATCTACAAGATAACAGGGAGGGGGGCTTTCATGAGTTGGACCACTGGTGTGCCAGATAAAGACATTCAAATTCAATTTAAAAAAAATTCAACTTGGTCTACTTAAACAGAGTCAACAGTCAGAGAAGGAAACAGAGTTCAATAAGACAGGTGTGGTTGTTAGTTGCCTTCAGGTAGATCCCAACTCCTGGCCACCCCATGTGTGCCAAATAGAACTGACCCAAAGGGTTCTCAAGGCTGTGACCTGTCAGAAGCAGATCACCAAGCCTGTCTACCAAGAAGCCCCTGGGTGAGTTTGAACTGCCATTCTTTCAGCCTATAGTAGAGTGCTTAACCATTTATGCCACCTAGGGACTCCATGACAAGTGTTGTTGTTAAATGGCTGGTGGGCTTGAACTACAGACCTTGTGGTTAACTGTCCAGTGCTGTTCCTACAGCGCCATACCACTTTAGGTGGTATGAAACAGAGTAAGAGTCAAGCTCAGAAATGTTGCCAAGGAGTTCTCATGGGATAAAAGGAAGACAGTGATGCTAGCTGTTATTATTGGAAAGGACAGTAACCACTTGGTTGATCATTTCAAAGGCAACAGCCAACAAAAACAGAATAAAATGGGTTTCTTAAGCTCTAACATAGAGCCTTCTGATTAACCAAAGAGGTTCTTCTATAAGTAACCATTGAGCTAGATTACAAAAAGAATGCACACATTGCTTTGGAAGGCTCTAACTAAATGTAGCTCCAAACAGTAGAGGTATGGTCTTATTGAAAGGCAAATGACCTCCCAAGGTCCTGATTTAAATATGTCTCTATAGTCAACTCTTGGTTATCCAACCTAAAGGGAGAAGACATTGACAAATCATCCTAAGCTGAAGATAATAAAAAGTTATATTTGTCTTTGGAATGTATTTTGGTACTTAAATTAGAACGTGTCTTTCTGATGCTCTGAGAATTCACAATGCTTCACAACAGCCACAAAGCCTGACCTGGAGCTGGGAGGCTGCCCAATTTCACCACCCTGTCCTCTGTATAACTCTTATTCTTTATGGAGGGTAAGCAGTAGCATCTTTCAGAATAAAGTCCAGCAACTGAGGCTTCCTCAGACAGGAGCTATCTGGCTCAGCTCTCTCCTTGGAGAAAGGAAAGGAGGTCTTTCCAAATGGCTAATCCAGGATCTAGATCCAGGATGGTCTGATTCTTGTTTCTATAGGAGGATTCCAGAGTTCTGCAGGACCCTCAGTTAGCAACCAGCTAGACAAAGTTTACACACCTGCCTTAAAATGACTACAGAGAGAATGGTCCATTATGTCTAGATTCTCTGCCCTAGGGGACACAACAGCTAATTTCTTGAGTTCCTTGGAAGAGAAAGAAAAAAAAATTTAATTGAAAAGGAAGAAGTAATGAATGCCCAGCATTTGGAGAGAAGGAAGCTGCATATTCAAGAGATCAGTTCCTTGAAATCCAAGGATGCATGGGGTAGAGACCTGCCATGCCCATGTGCAGACACAGTGCCCAGAAAACTGACCTCAGCCCATGGGCCGATCTGGGCTATCCATCACTCCCTATGAGCTGGAAGGGACACTGAGACACAGAAACTCCTGGTACCAAACAGTTCTGCCTCTTCCCAAACAATCCCAGGCCAGTACCAGCCCTGGGGGTCAAACCCTTCTCTCGGTTCTGATTTTTACAGCTGAAAGATGAGCCATGAGGAGGGCAGTACACCCATCCCTACTATTTCAGCATGTTTTTGAGATAGATGTCATAAAAAAGGTAAAGTGATTTTTTAAAATTTTTAAAGTAAACTGTAAGAAACTTTACAGAAACTGGATTCACATAGGTAAGTAACTTGCACAAGGTTTGGGGTTGTTGTTGTTGAGTGCCGTCGAGTTGGTTCCAACACATAACGACCCTGTATAGGGTTTCCGAGGAGCAGCTGCTGAGTTTGAACCACCGACATTGCAGTTCAAATGGCTTTGCAGTCTGGCACATTAACCCACAGCGCCACACCAGGACTCCAAGGTTTGGGGTGGAATGTATATAAAACCAGGTCTTTCAAATTCAAAGTCCAAAATTCTTTCTACTGTTACACACAACAGCTACAAATAATATTACCTGCCATTATTTTGTTCAGTGCTACCATAAAAGCGCAGGCCTCTGAGAATGAGGTTGACTGGGCCCTGTGGTGTTTTCATTTATTGATTGTTTTGAAGTGATTATTAAACTTGGTACAGTTTGGCAGAGACTCTAGAGTTAGGGAGCCTAGGGGTTTGATCTTGACTCATTCACTTACTATGTACTTGACAGCGAGCAGGCCACTTAGCATCTCAGAATCCCAATTTCCTTGTCTGTAAATGGGGGTGATACTATACTACACAACGTCTTCAAGAGGATTAAATAAGATGATGCAAATGAAAGGCTTACCACAGTGCTTGGCACATATTCTTGTTGCTGTTATTAAATGCCATTGAGTTGGTTCTGACTCATAGTAACCCGATGTACAACAGAACGAAACACCGCCCAGTCCTGCACCATCCGCACAGTTGCTGCGACGCCATGAGTCCATTGTTGCTACCACTGTGCCGATCTATCTCTTTGGGGGTCTTCCTCTTTTTTACAGTCCCTTCATTATACCAAGCATGATGTCCTTCTCCAGAGACTGATCCCTGCTGATAATATGTCTCAAATATGACAGACGAAATCTGGCCTTCCTGACTTCTAAGGAGTATTCTGGTTATACTTCTTCCAACAAAGATTTGTTTGTTCTTCAGGTAGTCCATAATACCTTTAATATTCTTCTCCAACACCATAACTCAAATGCATCAATATTTCTACGGTCTTCCTTATTAATTTTCCAACTTTCACATACGTATGAAACTACTGAAAATACCATGGCTTGGGTCAGGCGCACCTTAGTCCTCAAAATGATATCTTTGCTCTTGAACACTTTAAAAAAGGTGTTATGCAGCAGATTTGCCTAATGCAATACATCACTTGATTTCTTGACTGCTGCTTCCATGAGTGTTGATGGTAGATTCAAGCAAAATGAAGTCTTTGACAACTTCAATCTTTTTTCCACTTATCATGATTTTACTATTTTGTCCAGTGGTGAGGATTTTGGTTTCTTTATTGATATGCAAGCCATACTAAAGGCTGTAGTCTTTGACATTCATTAGAAAGTATTTTAAGTTCTCTTCGCTTTCAGCAGGCAAGGCTGTATCATCTGCATATTGCAGATTGTTGATGAGTCTTCCTCCTATCCTGCTATCACGTTCTTCTTCAGAGAAGCCAGCTTCTCGGATTATTTGCTCAGCATATATATTGAATAAGTATTATGAAAAGAATACAAGTCTGGTGCAAACCTTTTCTGATTTTCAACCATTCAGTTCCCCCTTGTTTTGTTCGAATGACTGCCTCTTGGTCTATGTACAGGTTCCACATTAGCACTATTAAGTGACCCAGAATACTCAGACTTTGCAATGTGATCTATAGCTTTCATGATCCACACAGTTGAAAACCTTTGCATAGTCAATAAAACACAGATCAACATCTCTGCTTTCAAGCAAGATCCATCTGATGTCCACAATGATATCCCTCATTCTACATTCTCGTCTGAATCCAGAACATATTAGTGCTCAATAAATAAGCCTTATCAGTAGCAACTGGAAGAATTTACAATGCACTGTCACAAATAATCACCTAATGAGGCTTCAGGACAAGAGGGCACTCTAGCTGTTTACCTCCATACAGATGATAACTGAGTCTCAGCTAATAAGTGACCTACCCAAGGTCATGGAACTAGAAAGTTGTAGAGCTAGGGAATGACTCAAGCCATTTGGATTTCAATATTATGCTTTTCTTTCTACACAGTGTTGCTCCTTAGGAGACAATGGAACAGTGGGCACCAAGGCATGGCTTAGAGGTTTAGTCATCCCCCTTAATTTCCATCTTGGAAATGGACAATGTTTAGTCTCAGTAAGGTGCTATGCAGTTACTCCTTTGAGTGCCCATTCCACCATAACTGTCACCCTTGAGTTCCTCCTATATGCTCAACTTTGGGGTGGAATGTATTAAAACCAGGTCTTTCAAATTCAAAGTCCAAAATCTAGAGGCCATGGGTAAAAAGTAACACTTATATAACTAAGAGCTTAAATATGAAAAGAAAAGAGTATCTTGGAGCAGAGCATTCAAATTTGCTCCCTGGAAAGCTGGTAGGTCAAACATCCTTCCTCTAAAATGCCTTCCATCCCAATTCACTGGTTTAGCAAAAGACAAGGATAGGGTAACTGAGCCACAGATGACCCCAGACCTATGTGTATTGCCATAAGTTAGTGGGTTTTGGAGTTACTTGTTAAAGCCTTATTGCAGCAAAGACTGACTAATACATCTTTCTGACTCAGGAAGGGAGACACTTACCCTGCCACAACGATCTCAAAATCCCCGTCATGGTCCACATCAGTAACTGCCACACCATAGTTGAGCTGGGTGGGGTTGCTGTCATAGTCAGGGGGCAGAACTGAGTTGGTGACTGCAGTGAACATGGGTTCAACCCGCTGGGATTCCTCAGAGGGGGGCAGAAGCCACAACATCAGGAGGAATAGTAACATCCTCAGCATCTGAAACCCAAAGTTACAAATGTTATTGGAAGACCCCGTAGCCAAAAGAGCCCAGAAAAATCTAAGCTAGGTCAGTCCGGTGCTACCTTTCTCCCCTATTCCCAGAGGGCTTTGCAATTCCTAAAGCAAACTCAAACCTGCTGTCATTAAGTCGACTCCAATTCATGGTGACCCACTATGTTTCAGAGCAGAACTGTGCTACATCGGGTTATCAGTGGCTATAATCCTACAGAAGCAGATTTCTGGTTTCTTTTGCTGTGATGTTGCTGGGTAGATTTGGACCACCAAGCTTTCAGTTAGTAGGCAAATACAGACTCCTGCAACAGCCAGGACCCTATCCTGACATTTTCCCACAGACATGCCTTGACCACCCCTTTAAAACTGTAACTGCTCCCCATCATCCTTACTCCGCTCTGCAGTTATTGTTTTTCCTTAGCACTGATCAGTTTAAAATTAGGAAAGGTGTGCGCTAGGGTTGTATCCTTTCACCATACTTATTCAATCTGAATGCTGAGCAAATAATCCTAGAAGCTGGATAATATGAAGAAAAATGTGTCCTCAGGATTGAAGGAAGACTCATTAACAACCTGTGATGTGCAGATGATACAACCTTGATTTCTAAACGCAAAGAGGACTTAAAATAGTTACTGATGAAGATCAAAGACCACAGTCTTCAGTATGGAATGCAACTCAGTACAAAGAAAACAAAAATCCTCACTACTGGACAAATTAGTAAAATCATAATAAATGGAGAAAAGATTGAAATTGTCAAAGACTTCATTTTGCTTGGATCCACTATTAACACTCATGGAGGTAACAATCAAAAAATTAAATGATGTATTGCATTAGGCAAAACTGCTGCATAAGACATCTTTAAAGTGTTCAAGAGCAAAGATGTCAGTTTGAGGACTAAGGTGCACCTGACCCATGAGACTGTCTATTGAAAATACCATGGAACCATTTTCAATAGTCTCATATGCATGTAAAAGTTGGACCATGAATAAGAAAGATCATAGAACTGATGCATTTAAGTTATGGCGTTAGAGGGGGATAGAAACGAATAGCCGAAACATGATTATAGAAAGCTTATAAGCCCATCTTCAGCCTGTAACTGATTGGAATACCTAAAAAGGGTGCTAGAACTTGCCCAGTGAAAGAGGCTTCTTGTGGAGCCTTTGTAGTGTATAAGACCTTTAGGTGGAATCCTGATTCCCATCCAGAATCTTCTGACGTGGGAAATTTCCACTTGAAAAGACAAGCAGACCAGCCTGGAGCAGCAAGAGGAACAGAAGATAGTTCTTGAAAGAAAGATCAGAAGGAAAAATCAAAAACAAAAACCACTGGAGAGCCATCAAGGCAAGCAATCAAATCCCTTCAGAGAAAACCCTCATCCAAGACTGAAACTCAAAGGAATACACACGCAGACATGTAATCTTGCTGGCAACCACACTGATCTACTGATGAGTGGAGTGGGGGGAAAGCAGCAATGAAGATATGGGCTGAGTCCAACCACGTTACATAGACTCCCGTCAACCTGGAGAGTATGGTGAGACCTGGGAACTCCTGAGCCCATGGACAAGGACACAGCCACAGAGGGATAGAGCAGAGAATGAAGTGATGAGCTGATAAGAAGTGAGGAGACATGCACAAGAACACCCATGCTTGTAGAAAGTACCCATTTGACCTAGCTTCAATGGCTGGATGATCAGAACTTGACTAGAGGAAGAAAGAAAAGGAAAAAAAATTCTTTTTTTTAATAAATAAAGAAAACAAGTGTAATTCACTACAATTTGATGAACTTGACCTATACTTATGGATGTAGTAGCTTACAATACCAACCCAAAGGGAAGGAATCTACACAGCAAGGATCATTCCCATGCCCTCTGTACACAGGGTTGATAGGGTTGAGCAATTTAGACACTGGCTACCTAAAATGTGGGGGGAGGCACAAAGTGACTGGCTTAACAAGTTTTCAAGAGGGAGTTTAGTTTCAGAGGGTGCAGGGGAAGGTAGAATCTCCACTGAGGGGTTTTCATTTGTTTAGATGGGGCTGGTGAAAGGAGATGGGGATAAGACTCTTATAGTTCAACAGTGAGTAACTGTTATCATGACTGATTGTGATTGTTGCAACTGTAAAGATAGAGGTTTTGTAGCAAAAAGAGAGGAGTGGGTGATCTTGCAGTCTAGGAGCAGAGGACCCTGGGACCATCAAGGGAGAAGAGTGGGAGCAGAGTGTGGGACCTTATTCAGAGAAGCAGCAATGCCATAGATATAGATGGAGGCAGAAGTGATGACATAGAGAGATGGAGCGGCTGGAGACTCTAGACTCATGGAGGGAGAGGGGCTGTGTGCTGGTGGCCAGAGGGCAGGCTTGCAGGGTATGCCCTTCGGATGTTTGAATGATTGTATATTCCTGAGTGTTTTGATGTACATAAAAAAAAAAACAAAAAAAAACAGAGGGAATAGAAGCAAATACTGTTGAATGAATGATGATGCATGGAGAGGATTGTAAATGTTGCAATTAAATGAAATAAGATAGGATGAGTGTAAAGTTGATGTTCTCCCATGTAAACTATCACTCAATTCACAATAAAAACTTTAAAAAACCCACAAAAGTTACGGTGTTGGAGAAAAATATTAAAAGTGCTATGGTGTACTTTTAAGAATATTAAGCGTACCATTTGCTTGCCAGAAGAACAAACAAATCTGTGTTGGAAGAAGTACAACCAGAATGCTCCTTAGAAGCCAGGATGGTGAAGCTTCATCTCTCATACTTTGGCCATATTATCAGGAGGGACTAGTCCCTTGGAAAAGGACATCATGCTAGGTCAAATGGAGGGTCAGTGAAAAAGAGGAAGACCCCCAATGAGATGGATGGGCACAGTGGCAGGAGCAATGGGCTCAAGCGTACCAATGATTGTGAAGGATGGTGCAGGACCTCACAGTGTTTCGTTCTATTGCGCCGAAGGTCACTATGGGTTGGAACCAACTCAACAGCACCTAACAACAAATATACCATACTGTGTAGTCTCCCTAATGATTATGCTTATGATTTATTGCTGTTCTCCCTCTGCTGGGTTCGAAGTTCCATGAGGGCAAGAATCTTTGTCCTGTTTGTTCACTAATGCACACCAAGCCAAGGATAGTGTCTGGCATATGACAGGCATTCAAGATCTATTTAGTGAATGAATGAATGAACTATAGAGTCTAAACACACAGGCAGTGAAGTCAGACAGACTTTAGTAGGGATTCTAGCTACTCCAGTGAGGTACTACAAGTTTAGGAACCTCAGTGTTTTCAGCTGCCGATTTGGGAAACACATAGCTTGTAGGACTGTTATGTAAGCTAAGATAATATAAGGAAAGAGCTCAGTGTGGGGCACACAGTAGGTGCTTAATAAATGAAAGCTATTATACAGCACTTAACAACGATTACTATCATTAGAAGAGCAATTTAATGAACACTCAAGAGAATCTTCAGTCTTCACATGAATGTAGACCATAATTGCTAAGTTACAGGAGATATGGCCATGGTCAAGGGTTTCTTGAAAAATGTTTTATGTTAAGACCTGTCACTATGCTTGTAAGCACTGGGAAATAAATGTCTTGTTAATCCCCACCCATAATGGGTGACAATAGACTTGAAGCACTTTCTATACTCTATGCGAAGATAAAGGAGGCCCCTTCCGAACTCTGGGTGAAAGAAAAAACCAACAGATTTCCACACAGCCCAGGGGTGGGGGGCTAGGCCCCTTGAGTAGCCAGGTCTAGAACCACCAGTTGAGGTGATGAATGGTGGTCCAAGTGTGGGAACATACCCCAGAGAGCACATGGAGAAATCTGCAACAGCAAGTTCTTGAGCCAACATCCCTCCCCAGGGCAGTCAGCCATCACCTCCAAACCAAGAAGCACGCTGTTAGGGGATGCATTCCAGCAGGATCTGGCAAGCAAGTGCATCATTCACTTGAAGAAATTAAACCATTGCGCGTGAGTTTTATTATAAATTAATTATGTATAATCCATTGTATAATGCATTATTATATCTCTAACATAACTCAGGGTGTTGCCAAGCAGCCTGGGGCCACGGAAGCTGCTGGTGCACACACACACACAGCAGACAGATGAGAGTGGCCAAGGAGGTAGAAGTCCTCCGCCCCAGTGAGCGAGAAGAACAAGGAGACACTAGAACGCTACAGATGGAACCACACTGAGCCTGCGCCCTCTTGCCTACAATTGGAACCCACAGAGCATTCTAGAGGCTCCACTAGAACGAGTCCCACAGGGGCTGCCTGGGTTCAATCCCAATGGGGAAAGCAGTGCCTTCCTGCCTCCAGGAAGCAGCAAATCTCTTCCTGATGGAACTTTTCTGCTGGCTTGCTGGTATCTGGCAGACAAGAGCAAGGCTGAGTGAGGAGGATGTCTTAATGAAGGGAAGAGCAAGGAAGACATGAAGACTGTCTCCCCATACAGAGACACACACTCCTGCCAGCAAATGAGCCTGCTCCAATTCAAGGACCTAGAGACCAAAACGGAGAGCACTGGCACCACCTTGGAAACCAAATAAAATTCCAAAGTCTCCCTAATGCCTTGTTGGAGAAGCAGCCGGCTTCCCAGGGGCAGCCAGAGGCACGGCTCCAATTGGAGGACAGAAACGAAATGTGGAGAGCATTCCTGGGAAGGAGGCCCTTCTACCATATTCATAGGACACATACGTGCTGGGTATAGCACTATCCGAGTGAGGTCATTCCAAATGACTAAGATGACAGAACAAAACAGCTTCTTCTATTGGGCGGTTTAATCGCTGAAAGCAATCCACATTAGCAGAACTCTGCAACTGACAGAAAGTTAGGTTGGATAAAGGGAACTCACAACTGGAGAATGAGCAGCTGGGGAGCAATGGGAAGCTGAAGAGCATTTAATAACTAGTGTAAACATACCTACAGTTGCACAGGGATCTGAAGGTCACTGGACTTCTAAGTCCAAAGGGATGACCCTCTACTG